TGCTGCTGCTGCTGCTGCTGCTGTTCTTGGTGTTGTTTTGGTGATGGTAGTGATGGTAGTGATGGTGGTGGTGGTGGTGGTGGTGGTGTTTTGGTGATGGTGATGGTGGTGGTGGTGATGGTCGTTGTGGTGTTGTGGTTGGTGGTGGGGGGGTGCTGCTGCTGCTGCTGCTGCTGTTCTTGGTTTTGTTTTGGTGATGGTAGTGATGGTAGTGATGGTGGTGGTGGTGGTGGTGGTGATGGTGTTGTTTTGGTGATGGTGATGGTGGTGGTGGTGGTGATGGTCGTTGTGGTGTTGTGGTTGGTGGGGGGGGTGCTGCTGCAGCTGCTGCTGCTGTTCTTGGTGTTGTTTTGGTGATGGTAGTGATGGTGGTGGTGGTGGTGTATGTGTACCAGAAGACAACTTTGGGTGTCTCTTTTCTTGTTCACTGCTGCAGTATGCCAGAGTAGCTGGTCCCCAAGCTTCTGAAATTCTCCCATCTCACCACAGAGGAGCTGGGGTTACAGCCATGCACAACTGTGTTCAGCTTTATGCAGTTTCTGGGGCTTCAAACCCAAGCCTTTGTTCTTGTACGGCAAGCACTTTACCACTGAGTGACACTCCTAGGCCAGAATTTCTTCTGAGGAGTGTGAATGGGTGTGGGTTGCCTAGTGAATGGGTAAAATGGCCTGAGCTAGAGAACAAACCACCCAATACGATTATTAAAGTGGGTATTCTAGACCCTCCTCTCACTGTAGCACAATAAAGCAGAGTGCTTGGAAGTCAGTGTGTACACTTAACTCTGGCAGTGTGGAAACACAAACTGAAGCCATCTCAGTGGAGTTTGAACCTGCAAGACACCTTTGCTGAATCAACAAAGGGCATGTGGGAGAGGCCTGGGTGCTCTCCTCCCGACTGTCTTTCCATGGTGGTTCATTGGTCAGATAAAAATCCTAGAGCAAAGACAAGTGTCAAGGCACGAATTCTGTCGGCCTAATGACACTCAGGACATGACCCTGGACAAGATCTGTCTGTCTGTTCCTTTACGTGAGCAGAAAATTGACATCCCCTTTAGCTGCCTTCTTAGACCACAGGGAGATAAACTAGTGACTGCCAAGTAACAGGGACTGTGGTCACACACACACACACACACACACACACACACACACACACACACAGGTACACGTGTGACATTAGCCATAAAGCTTCAGCTAAGACAAGCATAGGGACAGCATAGTCACCTGGGAGCCTACTTAGCTTGGGCTACACACACCACTTTCCTTAGCAACCCCAGGGTCCGATCTGCATTGAGTCACACAAAGAACCCACCTCCAACACTGCAGAAAGTCACTCCCCCATAACAACTCCTTAGCAATCCCCCTTTCTAGAAGTTAGAACATGCCAGGAACACACCTAGAAACTACAGACAAGAAGTCAATCCAGTCTGGACTGGATTTGGGTGCATGCACAGTAGGACAAACTGCGCTCTCTGAACAAGCTTTTGGGAGATGCCCTATTTGCCACATTATGTCTATGCATGGTATGAGTGCATGTGAGTAAAACCGGATGCATCCTTCGAAAGGACGCAGATGGTGAATGCACCCTTACATAACCAAGGCTGTCAGTCAAATAAGAGAAACATCCCCTTAGCTACCAGCTTCTCCTGGATCCCATAAGAGGAAGCCCAGACAATAAGCAGTGCTCCTGGGCATTCTAGTCCAATTCATCTGCTGCTCTATTACCGTGTCTCCTACACTGTCCCTTTAAGTAAAGTTCCCCACTGCTTTGCTAATAGTATGGGGTGCTTCAAGTTCCAGTTCTCCACACACAATGCCTAGAACGTGGAAACACCTGGTCCAGACAGGATCCCTGGCAACAGCTTCCATCCGTGAAAAGTCGTGGATGAAGCATTAAGTGCTTGGTGCTGAATGAAAGCAGCTGACCTGAAAAGGTGGCAGACGGTGTGACTCCAAGTGAACACAATTCCCATTCAGAGCAGACAAGGGCTGGGATGCGCTTCCATTCAGCCGTAACCACTTCAGGTTAGCAACCTATGTCTTAATTACAAATATCAATACACGAAAAGCAGTGTGCCTGGGTCCTCCTGTGCTAATGGCAATCCAATAGGAAATTTGAAATAACGTTTATTCTGTTATTCATTGTATTACAATAAAGAGCAAAAAAAATGCTCCAGTCAGTTGTTAGGAACAACAAATGGAGCAGGTCATACCCCTGCGTCTGAGAGGCAAGTCTTTAAAAAGCATTATATTCATTTAATCTGTGTGTGTACACTCACGTGCATGTGTGTGCATGTGCGTGTGCACGTGTGTGCACGCCAGAGAACAACCCCACATCTAGAGAACTGATCTCCAAAATATATAAATAACCCAAGAAACTAGACACCAAAATACCAAATAATCTAATTAAAAAATGGAGTATAGATCTAAAACAGAGAATTCTCAACAGAAGAAACTCAAATGGCCCTCAACCAAAGAATGGATAAAAAAAAAAATGTGGTGCATTTACACAATGGAGTATTACTCAGCAGCAGAAAACAAAAAAAAAAAAAAAGAAATAAAAAACAAGGACACTGAAATTTGCAGACAAATGGATGAAACTAGAAAAAAACAGTCCTGGGTGAGGTAACCCAAACCCAGAAAGACAAACTCATTCAGAAGTGGACATTACATGGAAAGCAAAGGATAGCCAGGCTACAATTCACAACCACAGAGAAGCTAGATAAAAAAAAAGACCCTAAGAGCAGCATACACGAAGAGTCCCAGGAAGGGAAAATCGTTACGATCTCCTAGATAAACTGGGAGGGGGTGAAAAGGAGGGGTTGGGGGATGGGAACATGAGGGACCAGGAAGGCAGAGTTAAGGAAGGGATTGGAGGGGGAGAGCAATGAAAGAGGGATCTTGATAGAGGAGGGCATTGTGGGGCTAGGAAGAAACCTGGTGCTAAGGAAATTCCCAGGAATCCACAAGATGATGCCCGCAGAGACTCATAGCAGTATGGAGAGGGTGCGTGAACAGGCCTTCCCCTTTAATCAGTGACTACACTAATTGCCATCAGAGAACCCACATCCAGTAACTAATGAAAAGCAGACGAGTGATCCACAGCCAAGCACTGGGCTCAACTCCTCCAGTTCAGTTGAAGAGAGGGAGAAGGGATCGTATGAACAAGGGGTGTCAAGAGCATGGTGGGAAAACCCAGAGACAGCTGACGCAAGCTAGTGGAAGCTCACGGACTAGGTATGAACTGGCAGCTGGGGGAACCGCATGGGACAGCCCTTTGAATGTGGGTGACAGTTATTTGGCTTGATCTGTTGCAGGGGCCTGGCAGTGGGACCAGGACTTTCCCGGGTGCGTGAACTGGCTCTTTGGAGCCCATTCCCTATGGTGGGATGCCTTGCTCAGCCTTGATACAGCGGGTAGGGGCTTAGTCCTGCCTCAACTTGGTATGCCAGGCTTTGTGGGCTCCCCATGGGAGACCTTACCCCCCTCTGAGGAGGGGACAGGGACAGGCAGTGAGTGGGAAAGAGGGGATAGGGGCAGGAAAAGGAGAGGGAAAGGCAACTGGGGTTGGTATGTAAAATGAAACATTAAATGAAAAAATAAAACCAGCGTCTCTATTGCAAAAAAAAAAAGTATGCTTGGTTGTTGTTTAGGACTTAATTTTTAGAAGGTTTTTTATTTCATGTCATCTCTGACATGCAAGACTTGATACTTGATGCCAAGTGACAGATTACGGAGTTGACTTTTACAACCCTGCTGAGCCTCAGTAAGACAACAAATTATTACCCATTTTCTAGGTACCAGGTTCCTCTTAGGAAACTTGGGTGCAGTAAAATCCCTTTTTCAGTTTAGTATTAAGACTGAAATATCTCGTGTTTGTTTACATAGAAACTTAGGAAAATAAAAACATTTAAAGACTGTACTTTGTGTATACACACACATGCACACACACACGCACACAACAGTGGCCTACCTGCCACCTCAATTCAGCATTCCATGACTTCCCTATCACTGAAGGGATTTATTGCCTAAAATGTCAAAAACTAATTTGTATCTGATAGTCGTAACACAGCTTTGAGGAGATTTATTGCTGATCAGCACAATTACTCTTCTTGTTTCTTTTTACTAAAGAGATCACACACAACAAAAAACAAAGCAAGAGCCGGGCGTTGGTGGTGCACGCCTTTAATCCCAGCACTCGGGAGGCAGAGGCAGGCAGATCTCTGAGTTCGAGGCCAGCCTGGTCTACAAGAGCTAGTTCCAGGACAGACTCCAAAACAATACAGAGAAACCCTGTCTTGAAAAAGAAAAAAAAAAAAGTCAAAACCATGTGTTACTTCACCTCTGCACCCGGTGGGAACACAACTTTCCAGCATTTGCAATGTATCACCTGCCGGTACTAACCCGCATGTCTCCAGGCTTGCAAAAACACAGAGACACAACTATACTGGTCTCCATCGACTCCTTCCAATCTTTGACAGAAAACTTAATAATATTGAGTAACACAGCAATCACCTTTGCAACTGGGATCAAACCTTCCGTCTTGTATCATTTGGAGAATGCTGTTTCTCTCCTCTGCATGGCAAACTCTCTTAAATATAGGCTTTTACATTCCCAAGGTCCATTTATATCATTACTATTTTGTGTTTTATCTACTAGCTCGTTCTAAACCTAAAGGCAGTAAAGGCATTAACAATGCTAAAAAGGCAAATAAATGGGCTGAAATTACTAGGAGAAAAGCCTACTTCTGAATTCTTTAGTTGTTAACTCCAAACAAAGGCAGGGTATAAGTGGTGGTGCCCCTACCCCCCATACACACACACACACACACACACACACACACACACATACACACACACACACAGTATACACCATGACTGAACAACAGTTTAAGAATTGGGAAGAGGCCCTTTAAAAACAATCTACATCCAGCCAGATAAATTCCATGTGGGGCTTTTACAACGGATTGTGCTCATCTAACAGTACAAATTACACACACCTGTGTATGATGGTTTTCAGCATTTATTTTCATTATTTCAAGCTAACTACTCCATTGTTTCAGGGAAATGCCATGCAATATGGTAATGTTCGAGTGAAAAACATAACAATGTCTAAAAGATGGCACTCAACCATAACTGGCAGTATGTTAGAAATGCTTGAATGTTTGGGCTTCAGAAAGAACAAAGTGTGTCCTTGACATTTCAAGACAGAAGTCCTGACACCCATGCCCACATTAAAATGTCCCTAAGTTTACGCAGGTGCTCTGTGGACACTGGTGTCCCTTAACTCCTGAGAACATCAAGCTTATCTCTGTCTTCGTTCCACACAGGAGTCTCTCTGTATACATGTCCACACTGCCTCATTTTACACTTGTCATGTGCGATTAGAAAACACTCTAGTGACCTCACACTGATAACACATGCAATAACACCATTCCACTATAAGGTAACATTCTGAGGTATTGAAGCTTAGGTCTTCAATAAATAATGCAGGGGGGGGGCCCAAGTTCACTCATGGCAACCATCTTCAAGTTTGAGTAGGGTATAGCTCAGTGGTTAGTAGTACTTGCCTATGTAACTTTAATCCCAGTTGTCAGGGTCAACTACTGAATCTCCTATGCCTAAAACAGACATTTGCACGCAGGGACTCAGCCAAGTATTTTACTGAATGAGTAAGTGAACAGATGACAAAAGAAAAAACTGGAAGCCAAGAGACTGAATCGTCAGCTAGGTTGAATATTACCTTCCTTTGTGGAATTAGCAGGAATTAAGATTGTGCCCTAGCAAAATTACAAAATGTTCCATGCTCTTTGTCCCTCTAAGAAATCATCCAAATCACAAGCATCGAAATCTCAGAAACAGCTAATAGATGCCTGTGTACACATGTATGCTGAAATAATCTCTCTTAAAAGCAGTAATGAGTCTAGGGTAGTTTAAACAGCTCAAGCAATGGCAGTGAGAAAGAAAGGCACCAAGTACAAGACTACCAGCTGGGTCCATTACGGCACGGGTCTCTCAGCAAAGCAGCACTCCAGCTCTGTGCTGGGTGTATTTCCTTGTTGTAATCTTTTTTATTTTAATAACCAATCCTTTTTGATAAGCTCCAAGATGAACTGGACTCCACAGCAACCTCAGGATAACAAGTTCCTGTCTGCAGTAGCACGGTAACACAGTATCACAACAGATAACAGCCACACAAGGAAAGCCTTCTGTTCTCTTTCCCCTAATCTCCTCATTCAAATCCTATCACCATGAATTTCCTGGATACTTGGCTTTGAAATACCGTACACTATAAACTTTAAATCCAAGCCCCGGATAGGTCTACATTCATTATGACAGCAGCATCTTGAAATGGTGAGTTATTATCTTCCATTTCCCTGCCATTTATTGTAGCTGCCAGAATGAAACGGTGTACCTTAAAGGCACCTAAACTGAAGAGCGAATGAGAAAGTCTCTTAGATGTTTCATTTATAAAAGCTTATTTTTCAACCATCACATTCTGTACACTATCTGAAATACATATCACTTTGTGAAAATGACATTTCGCATGCAGTGGCCCTGCTGAGCCCATGTGCTGACGTTAAGGCTTACTGGGAAGGGGTAAAAGCAGCAGCATCGTTCCACCTTCTAAGAACCAGATCCAGGATCTGGAGAGCAGGCTCAGGGGCCAAGATCATGGCCTGGTCTTAGAGAGTTCGGTCGCCAGCACTAGGTGGCAGCTCACTACTATGACTCCAGTTCCAAGGGCTCTAACACCCTCTACTGCCCTATGCGGGCACTGCACACTTGTGATGTATACGCAGGCACTCACACATTTAATAAAATCTTAAAGAACCAGAACTGAGCTGGGTATGGTGGCATCAACCTGCCCTCAGCAGTTGGGAGGCAGAGGCAGGAAGAGTTTTCTAAGTCTGGTCTTCATAGCAAGTTACAGGAAAGCCAGAGTTAACATAATGAGATCCTGTCTCAAAAAGGGGGCAGGGGAGAACTAGAATTGGGTGGGGTTTGGCCTTGGTAGGGAGGTAGGGAGGTTAAAAAGTCAGGCCATTCATCGTAGCTGCCCCTTTTGTGGATACTTCACTCACTAATTTTGGCTGTATTTTAAATTGTGCTATAATTGGGGATGGGGTCCTTGCCTAGCATGCTTGAGGGCCTGGTTCAATCTCCAACACCAAAAATAATGAAATAAAAAATTACACCATAGTGTAAGCAAATCAAGTCAAAGGACAGAGGCTCCAATGAGCAGTCTGAGACAATTAGCTCACTTTGAAAGCAAGACAAATCTCCAAACCAAAAAAAAAATACAATTTCCAAATGAAGTTTTTTAAAACTCCTGTATCAAGTTCTATTTTAACTCTGTGCAAAGACATAACTGCCAGTGACAACTGTAATGTATCCATTAACTAAACAACACACGGCTTGTAGTTCCAAGACTGATCTGAGACTAGAATGTAAGGTAAGAAAGAGGAATGCTCACATCAGTGAAGCGCGTTCCCTGCACATTCACACAAGCCAGGACGCTGTGAGGTCATAGGAGGCGCCACTGACACATCTGAGTTTATTCACTATGCTGTGAGGGACAGGGGCAGTACTTATATTTCTCCCTGTTGAATATAAAGCTGAGTTTTTAAAATATTCAGAATAACTACCCAAATCTTTCTCAGCAATGCTTTGAAAAGTCACAGGTTCTGGGAATTTATTGTATGAAACTGTAATTTAATAGAATCATAAACTGATTAATTCCCCAAGTTTCTTTAACTTCAGTAACCCACTTCAGAGAAAAAAGTATGTGTATCTTCAGTACACTATCTATTTCTGAAGTATTCATGTTTCTAAACAATTTTGAAAGCTGAAGTTAGAAATAATACCAGTTCATTTTAGTAACTGAGTAGATTTTAATAGTTCAGTTTCTTAAAAACCCACGTATTTGATATGACCTAATTCCAGAAATGTAAACCATGATGTAATCTTCAAATTTTAATTTAACATATTCTACTACCCACTCTTTAACTATGAACAAGAAGAAAAATTTATTTAAAATATTTAAAAGATGAGATTTCATTTGGATTAGTATCTACAAATCTAACCTTAAGACTAACCACAGCTGCAACCTCTCTGATGTGTGGATTCCCAAGATCATAAAGCACAATTAACACCTACCCTCAGAGCAAAGCAGTGCTTGAAAGAAACTGCTACCAACACCTATTTTATACTTTCAATGAGCCCACCTCTGGATCAGGCTAGTGAGCATCATTTCCCAGAATGCCCAGGACTCTGAAATAAGACTACTGTTCCAAGACTTCTTAAAAACAGCATGAGGGCTGCAGACATCATCTCTAGGACTGAGCACGGTACTCGGCAGTGTGGACACCAGTGTATTAATTTATCCAACAAATAATCCAACAAATAACTGCTATCATTTAGCTCCTTGGTATGTTATAATAATCACTTCACATTCTATGTAATAAAACAGAATAGATTTGAATTCTTATTTCTACAAATAAATACTGAAAGAAATATTTAAAGATCTCCAATTTAATGGGATGTAGAGCTGGACTTTCAGAAACAAATACACTGGCTAATAATTATCTGCAATCATGTGACAATTTTCATTAAAATTTTTTATGAAATTTAAAAAAAGAAATACAAGATACAAGTTTCTTTGCAATGAACAGCATTAAGAATCCAGTCTATAATTATCTTAATAAAGCACTTATTTCTCTAATGAAGTTACTTTAAAACTAGCTAGAAATTCCAGAGAATTAAAATGGCAAAGAGTGAAATAACTACAAATGTTCATTAATGTTTTTGTACTTCAAAAAGTATCTGGTACCAGAGCTAAGACTTTGTGCATCTATAATTTTAACACGCGTTACAAAGCCCATTATAATTTAAGATCATTTTCAAAATGTGCTACCATGAATCAAGAAATTCATATATTCAAAGTTAGTTGTGAAAAATTAATCACTGACAATTTCAACAACACTTACTCTCAAAAATTAAAGAACTTAGCTATACTTGGCATTCCTACACATGATGACGGGGCTGAGAGCAGCAAGGCTATATGGGCTCAGTCACCAAAAGTGTTTAGTAATTCTCTGTGACAAATAATATTCTGGAAAGATAAATCAGAATGTAAATATAATGTGATTCCTTCTGTGGCTAAGGGGCAGTATTTAATAAAGAAAGTTGGTTCAAAATATTCATAAGTACGCATGGCCTAGGAAATATACAGTTAAAAACATCTATAAGAGCGAGACCAGAAAACTGGGGGATGTGACTCATGAATGAGGAGCTTCTTTCTCACACCTGCCTTCCTCGTCTAAAGAGCCCATTTACCTTCTCTGTGGATAGCAAGAAGCGAGTGAGTTACACAGCTACAACCTGGAGGAGGAGGGAATCAAGCCAAAGCCGGCCAGGTCAGACAACCCTATTTCCCATCAGTGATAATAAGGATATTTTATTTTAAATGGAAATGAACAATTAAAGTGCAGCCTTAAGGTTTCAATTCTGTACTTTGAATACCAAGAAAGCAATTACTCCAAAAATCACAGAAACATGTTGAACTAACAAAACAGAAAAACAAAGTGGGTATTTAATTCATCACATTTATCGGCATTAGTAAAAACAGATGTCCTTATAACTCCAGTCTACAGACAGCACACTTCATAATATCATTATTCACTTAGAGCACTACAAATGTTTACAAAGAACATTTGGATTTCACAATTGCTTATAGAATACCTTACAATATTAAAAACATCATGATGCTTTATATGAAAAATCAATAAAGACAACTTAATCTTTCTCAGCAAAAAAAAAAGATTATCACAAATTTAATGTGTAAATTTATACATGAATTCAAAAAGGAATCCATTTAAACCTTGCATTGCCACATAACTACCTATTCTGTAAACTGATAAAAACGATGTACTTTTTGAAAACATGTACATCAGAACCAGAAGATTAATGTTTACTTTTTCCTTTATTAGCAGCGTTTGGTGTGTTTTTCTGTTTGGGTTCCCAGAGCGCATTTTTGACAAATCTCGAGGCAGCGCCTCTATCCAGCTTGGCAGCCTTTTTCTTGTCTGTTATTTCTTTGACTCTGTTCATGTAGACTCTGATTCTTTCCTTAGAGACAAAAAGAAAGAAAAATAAAAGGCAATCATTTCCTGAGCTGTTTGCTATTGCTAACTTTTATCAGGCTCTTTCTCAGTGAAAATCAACAGTGAGGATTCATTGTCCATTAAGTCCATAGCACTACTGAGTGCAAATGAACAGGACGAGCCCCATGCATTCTTGGAATGGACAATGTAGGAGAAAGACATACTTTAAACTCCCTTCAGTGGACACAGGGATGCACCCAACACTTGGAGGGCAGAGATAGGAGGGTTAAAACATCAAGATCAGCCAATTCGAGGCCAACAACAAACAACCAAACATTTTAGAAGTGTTCTGAACTCTTCCAGAGAAAGGCTCACGCAAGGGTATCACTATAGCAATAAGCAATAAATTAAATTCTCCCATCATTTTTCTAAACAGAAAACAGGTAAGGCAGTATTTATATCTATTTTACGTTACTGTCTAATGTCACAATTGAAATAGGCAGAATGAAATAGGAGATCTTTTATTCAATTTCATAATTTTGACTGGTAAGTATGTAAAGTTTTCTAATAAACTATACGGACTTTAAAGGTAAGAAACAGTAGGTTTTTGAGTCACTTTAAATCTCTTGAAAATATTACTTAGAATAAATAAATCTTATACTTCAAATGGTGAAATAACACAGTAAATGGCTGATCACTGTTCAAAAACAGGTTTCAATGAAATAAAATAGGTATATGAGCATATGCAGTAAAATACAGAACCTTACAAGTGTTTCACTATCAAAACTGAGTAACTGCTCAAAGTCCTCTACTGGTTCCTTACTCTCTCGTGTAAAAGCTGCAACCCTTACAAAACAGCACATCCACCCTAGGTCTGCCCTGGGACCGTCCCCCTGCTTATTGTTCTGCCTACAAGCATCCATCCACTTACTTCCTCCCTTCTAGTCTGCTCAACCATGGGCACTGTTTATTTTACCATGGTTACTGTGTGTTTCCCTTCATTGTGGGGGTGGCATCTGCCACATTCCTCTGGGGCATCATCTCACTTGAAAATGATGCCTAGCTCTTAGTAGGCACTCAAATATCGCTGGATGAATAAGGTGACTGTTTTCCCACTTGTGATGTGTATGATGAATAGCAAACAGATTTCCTCTAATTCTGTGATCAATTATAATGTCTATTGCCAAGGTCAGAAAAGGGTAATAGACTTAAGAATGTTTTTTATTTGCCAATCCTTATCCAGAAATTAATGTGCTCTCCATAAAATAGATTCTGAAGGGGAATGAAGACAAATGGTCTATCCTTTTACAAACTCAGTATTGAGTACTGTAAATAACTGTGTTGAAAAATAATTTCATAAAAGGACGCTATTAGGAAGCTATAAAGATAACCTGTATTTCTTAAAGTCAGTATCATAGGGCAAATAAAATCTATAGATATTACTTTATGCCTTTTTTCTTAGAATTGTTTCACAACTGCTACATTTAAGTATAAATTTATCTTTTCCTCAGGAACCATAAAAGAAGAAAATATCCTGGTCTATACATTTTTTAATGAAGATAAGAGGCCTGAATTACTCATTTCTTTTTAAGTAAACTACCTATGTGCTTTACCAAGATATAAATAACACACTTCACTAGCTGCTATAAGACTCGAAAACAAGGATACAATGTCAAGTGTGTTTTGCATATATATGCACATTATATTTTATGTGCATAAAGAATAAATTCATTAAAATTCTTATTCATAAAGTCAAGTCAGTAAGGTAACTATAAGTTTGATTTCTATTTTTCCCCTTCAAATTGGATGATTTAATATCTGAAGTCAGCAAAAACTCCAAGATATTAGATCTTATTTAGTATACTTATACATCTAAATGGAATACAGAGACAAGCCCAGAAGATTTATTACAGGCTGTAAATGTGTCACTGATGCAGAATTACTGGACAGTACACATATAGCTGGTGCCAAAAAAGCTTTTAGCTTTGTTGCTGAACTGAATCCTTTACTGCTGAGAAAATGAGTTAATGGAGGGATTGAAAAGGTAGGAGAGGATTTCCCCATCTTTGCTAGTAAATCAACTGAAATACACTTTTAAGAATTGTCTAAAAGTTTTTTTTTCTTAAGTAGCCCTGGAGATGAATAAAATTTTAAGAATTTATAGGAAAAATAATATGAAAGTTATAAATAATGACCAGAATTATGCCATTCTGCTCTAATTCTAATCTCCCTAACCAGTGTGACAATGGCCATACGACTAACCTACAGAGTTACAGCAGACCTATAAATAGGCATAAATCACAGGTGTCTTACCAATTCTTGCTTCACTGGATGCTCCTTAGGATTAACTCCTTGAGTTGCCAAATAAACTGTAAGAGAAAGACCTGCATTAAATAAAGTGGTATATATAATAGTAAGAGTGTTATAATAAAAGAAACCCCAGTTATGTTGTGTAACTAATTCAATTTCAATTTTGTTTTTGTTTTTGTTTTTTTCGAGACAGGGTTCCTCTGTATTGTTTTGGAGGCTGTCCTGGAACTCACTCTGTAGACCAGGCTGGCCTCAAACTCACAGAGATCCGCCTGCCTCTGCCTCCCAAGTGCTGGGATTAAAGGTGAATGATTAAGTTGGTATGTGGCTCACAGGCATCCTGTACTCTCACATAAAAGAAAAAAGCATTAGAATAATAAAATTACTATAAAGGGTAATTTTGTTAGTTGCTAGTCACCTTTGACACAATAACATACTTTCTAATGAACTACAGAGTAACATACTTACCCCAAAACATTGAATTTAATGTGTATGCAGAAACTAAATCCACCTTTGCTTGCTCCAGTGGGTCCAACTAGTAAAAGAGAGAGACAAGAAAATGATAGACACAAACTTTGAACACCAATAGATAACACGTTAAACTTTTCCCAACCACAAAGTATCAAAGGCATGTTTTTCTCACTTCCTATAATCCAATAATAAAAGAATCTAGAAATAATTTATACAAAAATGTTTTCTTAACCAGTGATTGTCTTTGGTTACTTCTGAGACTGTATTTTAATTACAGCCTTCTCCCTTCCCGTTCTGCCCTCAAAGCCTCCTGCATACCCTGCTCTCCCCATATCCAGAGCCGCTTCTTTTCATCAGCTGCTATTATTGCACACTTACATACATTGTATGTACATACAGATAACCCACGTATAACCAGTGCAGTTTTTGGCTTTTTGTTTTTGCTAAAAATTTTCACTTCAAGGTATCTATTTTGGTTAAACAAGGAATTTTTACAGTCCAAGAAAAATTCTTCTAAATAATACCAATTTCAGAGGCATAATTTGGGCTTTTATGTCAAAAGTAATTACTCAACATAAGCATTCAACAATTCACTAAGAAGAGGAACAAAATGCTTAGGCAATACCAAATACAGGAGAAACAATTTAATTACTGTTTCTGCATTGCAGACAACTGATAATCTCATTATAATACTTAAAAGACCAAAGATAGTTTCTGTCTAAAAGAATGCTATGAGTGTCTTTGCTTTTCAAAATCAAGTTCCCAATGCAAAAGCTTTGTAGGATGTTCTGGCTAAATAAACTCCAACACTTCCCCGCCTGAAACTCCAGTAGGAAGACAAAGATAGTGCTAGTTAACTATTTCTTTCACAGGTTTGTCTTTGAAATTCATCTGCAGATAACAGATTTTAAAATATCTTCTGCTGCTAGGCCCGAGTGGCACACACCTTTAATCCCAGCACTTAGGAGGCAAAGGCAGGACAATCTCTGAGCTCAAGGCCAGCCTGGTCTTCAGAGTGAGTTCGAGGATCCAAGCCTATACAGTGCAATCCTGTCTCAAAAAACAACAACAACAACAAAAATACCTTCTGCAACAACTCATTTCTAGAAACAGACATCATGGTCTTCAGCATGTCATCCACAGCACCCAGGGAGCTCTCTAGGGCTGATAACGATTCATGAATCTCTACAGGATAGTCTTCATTCATTTCTTCACCTGCCATTTTGACCAACTGAAAAAAAGGAATTCTCAGAATTCATATTGGAGACAGAGCTTTAAAAAGAAAATGAAAAGTACATTTACTTTTGAGTAAGATTAATTAGTAAGCGCACGCTTTTAATCCCAGCACTCGGGAGACAGAGGCAGGCCTACAACAGAGCCCTTCCAGAATCTCTTCCTAAAATGCACTTCCTTCCTGGGAAGGGGGAAGGAATCTGCCCAAGCCACACATCAAGCCCTTGAGACTTTCAAAGCTCTGAAACATGATCTAACCACACATCAACAAGCAAAACTCATGTTCACCCAGATTCAATGGCGCATGCACTTGGGAACTGGAGGATGGGGGTGAGGGGATCCAGGATGCCCTCGGCTACAGGTAAGTTCTAAGTTCAAGGCCAGCCTCTGCTACAGTAAACACCATCTCACCAAGGAAAATAAAAGGGGAAAACAACCACATTTTTTGTAAAGCATTGTATTGAAGACAATTTTTTTTCATTTTTTAATCAATTTAATTTTCACATTCCAGACAAATTTTTTAAAAAGTCTAATAAACAAATCCTTTAATGTCTACTGAAGAAATCAACAAAGTGAATTTTTCTGAAAGTTTTGTTTTATTAAATTTTTAAAACTTAGGTGTCATTTTGACAGTTCATTGTATTAAACTTAAAAACAAATCCTAGATATGAAAAATCTTTACCAACTATCACTTTCCAAGTTCCAACTTCATGTATGTATTTACAGTCCTTAAGCACCTTAACAATAGCTGAATGACAAGGTGGGTTTTTTAAGGGGGTGGGAGGGTGATAGAGGCAGACACTCGAGCTTTCAGTATTGCCTGCTTGAATACTGACTCTGTTACCCTTGAGGGGGAATCACTAAATCTCTCTGGGCTTCAAATTTTTCACTCACAAAAAAATGTAAGGTTCATTATCCAAATTATGGGTAATTTTGTTGTATATGAAATGGTATTATAGATGTATAAAGTCTGTCATTTAAGGATACATACTGAAGTACAAAGTGATAAAAATCATGAATTTACTTGTTTTAAAAGTAGCCTTCATAAATTAAAAGAAAGAGAAAAGAATAATTACAATGAAGTTAGACAGCAGTTACTGTCACATATTGAGTCTTTGAACAGATTAAGTTCATGCACTGCAGGATGAAGAGAAGGTGTAGCCTAGAACATTTACACAGCTATTACAGGAGAGAAGGAAAGGGTAAGGGATGCTCACCCTACCTGCACAGCTGCTCAACAACATTCATAAATCTAACACTGTCAACAAAGGCTGACATTTCAGATTGCTTGATTATGTTATAGAGTGCCTTTAAGACATTCTAATTTCAGTGGGCAGGGCGGGGAAGCTGCTTGGGAACTGAACCAAGGGCTTTAAGAATGCTAAGTATACACCCCACCTCTAAGCTACACCTCCAACCTCAAAGTATCATTAATTCCTGCTATGTTTATCTGACTCTTCAAAAGTCTCCATGTGAAAACCCATAGATCAGGTCTGAATTCAAATGACATACTAAGGCAATATAACCTGCACAACAGGAAACAAGGCATCTCCAAATCTGTTTAACAAACAAGCAGAAATTACACACAACCCCAAAGAAAGTAGACAAAGAAGCCAGCGGCTCACAAAGGAATCCAGATGACTATTAGACAAAGAAAACTACTCAACTTCACCAAGGAAACAAGAACAAGATGTCATTTTTCATGTGTCAAACTGCTTCTAATGTAAGCAAAGGTGACCACAAACAGGCCCTTTTCACGATTAGCAGTTTGATTTAATTAAGCATCTTTTGGATTTGATACGCCATTTCAAATGATATGTACATGTTCTTTGGCCCAGGAAATTTGCTTCTCTGAAATGTACATTTAATTAAGAAACCCTACTTTTAAGAGATAAGACCTGGTTGGCAGTTTTGTGGTCATACTTGGGGGTGGAGTTCAAGAAGATTGGGGACTTTGGTGGCTTTTTCTCCCTCTCACACACAAGAGCAGCAAGGACAACCAGCCATGGACTGAAACCTCCAAAACTATGAGTCCAATAAGCCTTTCCTCTTTTTAAGTTTATCTCACATTTCTGTGGCAGCAACAGAAAACTAACATACTTACACATACATGTGAGTTTTTCAAGACATACAATAAACTGTTAACTGTAGCTACTTCCAGGAAAGGAAAGAAGGAAAGGAAAGGAAAGGAAAGGGAAGGAAAGGGAAGGGAAGGGAAGGGAAGGGAAGGGAAGGGAAGGGAAGGGAAGGGAAGGGAAGGGAAGGGAAGGGAAGGAAAGGAAAGGAAAGGAAAGGAAAGGAAAGGAAAGGAAAGGAAAGGAAAGGAAAGGAAAGGCAGGGAAGAGAGACAGCATACCTTATTACATTCTCTGAACTATGACTGTCGGAGATTTGTGTAATGTGTTGTAACAATTTTATAAATAAAAGTTTTGCATGTTTGACGTTTTGAAATTTACTGGCGATGACAGACGCTCGTTTCCCCCTACTTAGCAGCCACAGTCAAACCTATTATTCTTTAGCTCTACTACATCCGAAGAACCAAAATGTCTTCTTTGCCCTAGAGTTGAATTTTCTAACCAACATGAAGGTAAATTCTTCCTCAACCTCATTGCCTCTTCCAGCTTGGCTTCCTGAAATGTCACACCTCGTACCAGCTCTCAAAGGTGCCTCCACAAACCTAACTTTTCTTGGCACTCACTAGCCAATTCAGCCATAGGTAACTAATCCAGCTCAAGGTGCGCTAGCCTTCCTGAGGAAATTCCCAAAGGCCACTATCAGTTCCCAGTTCCTAAACTGACTGCTTGCTCCCTCCTGAGCACACAGTGTACACTAGCACATCGATGAAGAGCACTTACAGAGCACTCACTCGTCACCATTCAGGCTTGCTCACTCATCACACAAGCATCAAGCACTGACAGCATTCGCCCTGATGATTGGAATACTCTGATGAGCAGAGACCAGCTACACTGACTTTGTGCTTACTGCAGATGATATGCCTGAATCAAACCATCCCAGACATACAAATCACAACAGCATGGGGACATACAGGGTACCCTGACACTGCAGACACAACAAGACGCAAGGAAATCACTCTTCAGTGGAGTCAGGTGGACAAAAACAGCAGAGGGACATGAGGGAAAGGGGGAAGTCTTCATGGAAATGCCCTAACCAGGTTCTGATATTCAGTTTCACTGAGCCCAGCAACGGCTCCTTATCCTTTCAGGACAAAACCCTCTTTTACACAACATGAAGGCAACTTCAAAGTCTGGCCCCCTCATCCTCCAACTTTCCCTCACACCAACACCGCATTCATCCACTGCTTCGTCCTTAATCTACATGAGTAAATGCCTGCAATTCTACAGCCAGACCAGTCATCCAGAACAGAATCAGCTGTGGGTACCAGAGAAAAAAAAAACACTTGCTAAAGCACCCTTCCAACAACTGACTGGGTCTCAGGGTAGGGGGTCTGAGAGGAGTTAGGACGGGGGCAGGGGGTGACTATTATTAAAATATATTGTATTGCATGTGTGAAATTCTCAAAGAATGAGTATATTAAAAAAAATGCAGCTGACTGGGAGGCGCGCCAGGGTAAGGGAAGACATCAGCAAGAAAAACAAGGGAAGTTCCCTGCAGGGGTGACAGCCTCTGGCTTAGGCTTTAATAGGGCCATTGAGGCTGCTATATAGAGGAAACCTAGGAGACTAATCATGGAGGTGTTGTAGTAGTTCAGATGAAATGACAGCATCAGCTGTCTACTCAACTAGGCAGAAGGGACGGAAGGTGGAGAAGAGCAGTCAGTTTGGAGTGGATTTTGCAGGAAAAGTTGCCAGAACCCACGTGTGGGCTGGTTGTGGGTTGTGAGAAAAAGGTAAAACTGAAGAGTGGAGTGCTTCTAACCAAGACATAAAGTGACATGGCGGTGCACACTACGATTCCAGCACGTGGAAATCTGAGGCAAAAGGACCTATCCTGAGTTCAATGCCAGTTCAAACAAACATGAAATCTCCCCGAAAACAAGATGGGCAGGCTGTGGGAGTAGAAAAGTATTCAGATGTTTGTTGAGTCATCAAATCGAAGTGTAGAGTGCGAAGTTAAGTACAAGGAGTCTAGAGTTGAGAGAAGTAGTCATTGCTTGAACAAAAAATTGAAAATTATCAATGAACAGGTGGTATTTAAAGTCATAAGATGGGAATCAATCATTACAGGAATAAATGAAGACATAAAAAAGAAGTTGGCAGCCAGGTGTTGGTGGCACGCACCTTTAATCCCAGCACTAGGGAGGCAAAAGCAGGCAATCTTTTGTGAGTTCGAAGCCAGCCTGGACTACAGATCAAGTTCCAGGATAGGCTCCAAAGCAATACACAGAAACCCTGCCTCAAAAAAACAAAAAAATAAAAAATAAAAGAACCTGAGACAAGGCCGGAGTCCTGAGGTGTTTGTTGAATATCTCATGTGACTTATCTAATACTGTAGGATACACATTGTGTAATTTACCCCCAAGACCACAAGACTCACTTGAACCTATGCTGGTACTACTCACCATCATGAGCATCATTAACACATCATTAGCCAAGAAAAGAGCACAGCTTCTACAAGCATGCTTACATACACAGACAGACAGGCACACGGGTGGTTAATTGGAACCAAAGTCTGGAGAATCTTAACATCATGTCACATTTTGGACTTACAGATATTAGAAGTTACTATATGGATCCAGTAGAAAAATTCATGGTAATTAATATTTGGAAGTTCTTTCCATCTCAATAGCAATTGAGAGTTCCACACAGTTACCATATTAGTGAGAGAAAGAAAATCCAACATATATTTAATTGATTTTTAAACAAGGAGCAATTTTCGGGCTTGGCATCAATAATTCTATTCCTAAAATTATGTTTTACACAGCATTACCTTAGAAAATAATGGTGAAATGTGTAGGTAAGTTCTCAATAAATACTACTACTGTCTTGGTCAAACAGTGATTCTATTAGTGCTGCCTGCAATTTTCAGTAAAATCTGAGAATATATAAGGCTTCTCTCTCAAAAGTGTACTAACCTCTAAAAACCACATTGTAGCAGTTAAAGAAACGGCTCAGTGGATAAAGCACCTGCGCCCACCCTAGCCGTGAGGACTGGAATTCACACCTCCTGCACCCTCATGAATGCAGGGCAAGTATGGAGGGTAGCCCAAACAGAAGACAGAAACAGGGAATCACCGGGATCCTAGCAGGACTGGCTGAAGTTAGTGAGTCTCTGATTCAGGGGGAAAGACTGTGCAGTGCCCCTCAACAAACAGTGGAGAACGGTAGAGGAAGACATCATCTTTGGACCTCCACAGACACAAATGCACATATACTCAAATATGGGAAAACACACACATAAAATCCAAAAGCCCAGTAATAAAAGCACATAAATGGCAAGACTAGAGAAATGGCTCAGCAGTTGAGAGCACTTTATCTTCCAGAGAACACAAGTCTGGTTTCAAGCAGCCAGATTAGGAAACTCACAACCACCTGTAACTCCAGCTCCATGAGATCTGACTTTTTTTTTACCGGTCTCTGTTGGCACCCACATACATGTGGCATACATACAGAAAGAGGCATAGGCACATACACATAAATAGGAATATTTTAAATACATATAATACAAGGAGATGGGGGTCACATTGGAATCAACTTCTATTCAATGCTTACTTCAATGAGTTTTCAAAATTAAAGTTAGAAAGCAGCAAAAACTAGCTTCTCCAAAGTGTGGAACTTGTTGATTACAATTACCTCTGAAGAAATGATAATAACATGGATGTGATGGAGGTTAAATACATAATGTCAGTAAAACTCTTCAAGCTGTACTCTATTAGTAGAACACTCAAAACATTAGCTAGTAATACTATTGTTTTGTGAACATGAAAATAACCAAAGGTCTAATCCAACGCAGACTACTTAGAACCATATATAAAGGGTTAGATGCTTGAAAACAGTAGTTAGCTTCTGACATAGCAGTTTAAAAAGTTAGAAACAATTAAAAGTAAATTGTGTTCCTGTAGGTATTGGAAAGCATCTACAACATCCCGCCCCCTCCGCACCCCTGAGGGATTTCTATTACTTTTTAAAAAAGAACAGTTCACATTGTCATCGTATCTGGTAACAAAACAATGCTGTCTGTCCCTTCCACCAAACACGAGTAATTTTCTAAAGTTTAACAAGGCTTGGCTATTATTTATAAATAAAAATGATATGGCTGACTTCTATGTACTCTTAGCCTAAACTGTTAATAACTAGACCATAAACATCTCACCAGGGCAAATACACCTTTTCCAAGCCAAAAGTAAAATTGTGGTCAACAAATTTTAGGTCATTAAACCGATCTTCTAACAGGGATTTGAGTCATGCTTAAGTTTCCCCAGCATGATGTCAAATTAATTTCTTGACATCATCAACTGCAGCGGGCCCGGCATGTGGGCGGCAGAGAAAGGCGGGCCTCTGAGTTCGAGGCCAGCCTGGTCGACAGGGAGTTCGAGGACACCCAGAGCTGTGACGCAGAGAAACGCAGTCTTGGAAAAACAAAGTAAAGTAAAATTAAGGGCGCCGTTATCTCCAGAGAGCTAACAACTGCCACCGCGAGCCTTCCGATCGTGGGTAGAATAGTAAGGACTGCACGAAAAGAAAACTACTCTTTGCGCCTTCCACCTTAGTCCGTTTAGGTTTGAAATCAGCTAGAAGCAGGCGGCCCTGGGTTTCCACGCGTCGCTTTTCAACCCTTGGAAGGCAGCGTTAAAAACCATCAAAGCAAAAACGCAAGACTGAGAAGCCCGGGGCCGAAGCCAGGCAGAGCCTGAGAGCCGCCACTGACGGGCTAGGGGGACCGCCGGGACCCCGCTGGCTCCCCGCAGTCGGCCCCAGTGTAGACGCGACCCTGGGGCGCGGGGAAAGCAACCGTGACCGGAGCACGACCATCGCCCGGACCCAGCCTGGCACGATACCTCAGGACCGTGGACGCCGGTCTCCAGGAAGGCGGTCGCACGGTGATGACGCCATGACACGTCTCCCGCTGGCGCGCGTGCGTCGCTCCGGGCCTCGCGCGTGCGTGGTTCAGTCCCGTGGCTCGCCCCGCCCGCCCCCTTCGCACCCCCATCCCCGCCCCTGGCTCGCCCGCCGCTATCCCCTCCGAAGGCCAAGACCGTGGTTCTTAGAGTATCGGCCGGGTGGCCCACCCAGATGCAGCTTGAGTGTCCCCTACGGCTTTGTTCAGGTCTCTGCGTGGACAGACACTGGGTCCAGAGCTCAGGTTCAGCTTTTGAGCGGCTCCCCTAGACAAGGGCCTGCGGCATGTCCGCCAGCTGCCTGGCCAAGGGACACTTATGCAAAGTCTTGGTTTTTTTTGTTTCTGTTTTGAACTGGTCTCGGATAATATGGCTGGCCTGGACTTCACAGTCCTTTTGTTCTTCCCTTGTGCTTGGGGTTACAGGCTGTGCCAGCATGCCCAGCTGTGCTGGGTAGTTTTATGTCAACTTGACACAAGCTAACGAGACCTGAGAGAAAGGAATCTCAATTAAGAAAATGCCTCCAGCCCGGTGTTGGTGGCGCACGCCTTTAATCCCAGCACTCGTGAGGCAGAGGCAGGCGGATCTCTGTGAGTTCGAGACCAGCCTGGACTACCAAGCGAGTTCCAGGACAGCCTCCAAAGCCACAGAGAAACCCTGTCTCGAAAAACCAAAAAAAAAAAAAAAAAAAAAAAAAAAGAAAGAAAGAAAGAAAGAAAGAAAGAAAATGCCTCCATCGGGCGTTGGTGTCACACGCCTTTAATCCCAGCACTCTGAAGGTAGAGGCAGGTGGGCGGATCTTTATGAGTTTGAGGCCAGCCTGGTCTACAGAGTGAGTTCCAGGACAGTAAGGAATACACAGAGAAACCCTGTCTCGAAGAGGAAAAAAAAAAAGTGTCTCCATAGGTAGTCCTGTAAGGCATTTTCTTAATTAGTGATTGATGGGAAAGGCCAGCCCATTGTGAGTTATGCTAACCCTGTGCTGATGGCCCCAGGTTGTATAAGAAAGCTGGCTGAGCCACCACGAAGAGCAAGTCAGTAAGCAAGACCCCTCCACGACCTCTGCATGAGCTCCTGCCTCCAGGTACCTACCCTGACTTCCTTCATAGATGGACTATGATATGGAAGTATAAGCTGAATAAATCCTTTTCTTCCCAACCTTACCCAGCTTGACCCTCTCAGTTTTAAACATTCTCCTAAGATGTGTTTTCAAAATTCATCAATATTTATTCAGTTGTCAGTTCCAACAATTTATCCTTTAAAATTACCTTTTAAAGTTACTGAATTTTATTTAATCACCACTAAATTACTTGGGAGTATTTTTTTTGGATGATAATCAGTTACAGAATTTTCTTTTACTTTGTTTGGTTTTTGTTTTGTTTTGATTTTTCCAGACAGGGTTTCTCTGTGTAGCACTGGCTGTCTTGGAACTCACACTGTAGACCAGGCTGGTCTTGAACTCAGAGATCCACCTGCTTCTGTCTACTAAGTGCTGTGATTGGAGGTATGTGCCAACACCACCTGACTAATTACAGATTTCACATATTGCTGGGGTCACAATTCCCTCACATGAAATTATCTCAAACTGTTATTAGCCAAAGCTATGTCATTTTTGTGAAGCTTTTCTATTTTCATTAAACTGCAGTCTGAATAAGTACAGTAATTTGGCTTTGTGGTGGTTTAAAAAGAATAACCCCCATAGGCGCGTATACCAAGAAGTGGTACCATTTCTTTTTTTTTTTTTTTTTTTTTTTGAAGTGGTACCATTTCAAAGGATTAAAATGAGGAGGCATGGCCTTGTTGGAGGAAGTGTGTCACTGGGGATGGACTCTGAGGTTTCAAAAGCCCATGCCAAGACCAAAGTTACCCTCTCCTCCCCCTTCCTCCCCTCCCCCCCACAGATCAGGATGTAGAACTCTTTCAGCTACTTTTCCAGCACCATGTCTACCTGCTTGCCACCATGTTCCCAGCGTTGCTGCTAATGGATTAACCTGAAACTGTAAGCAAGCCCCGAGTTAAATGCTTTATAAGAGTTGCTTTGGTTATGTGTCTCTTCACAGCAACAGAACAGTCACTAAGACAGGCTTCCAGAACTAAAGTAACTTGTTTTCTAGATTCTGAGCACGCCCCCACACACATTGCTCCTCAAATCAAGGGCAATAGGACAACCGCAGGGGCTGCTTACCAATCATCTGACATCCCTTTACTCACCACTCCCTCCTTGCCCCTAACAGTGGCCAACTGCATGCCAGAGAGAAGGTTCTTACCCTTCTCCTTTCTGTCCTGGTCTATTCCTATAACTTGTAAGTGGATAGTAAGCTCAGTTACTACCCAAACCTCCTATCAGGTTTTCCTCATGTTTCCTCACTGCTGACATTACAATTATGGACTTGCACTACAAACAACTGATACATAATTCACACAACAGACCGATCACAAGAGTTCAGTGTCCAAACTAATATGTATCCTATTCATGTCATGTCACCAGTGCTGTGGCAAATGGAGTAAAGTTTCTAAATTCATTCCCAGTTTCCAGAACACCATTAATACAGGCAGTAAGAACAATTATAAATGAGACCTCATGAAACTGAGAAGCTTCTGACAAAGCAGCAGCCTACAGAACAGGAAAAGATTTTCACCAACTATACATCTGATAGAGGGCTAGTATTCAAAATATAAAAAGAACTCAAAAGCTAGTAGTCAAAAAAAAAAAAGTAACCCAATTAAAACATTAGGTAAGGTGTAGAGAGAAGCCTTTTCCTTGCCAGCCAATTTGGTTTTTCCCCACCAGTCACCTGGACTCTGCCGTGTTGTAGTCCCCAAATAAACACACAAGACGCTGTATTAATTATGAAGCTGTTGGCCTTGCTTGTTTCTTACTGGCTAACTCTGACTTAAGTATTTAACCCATCTAAGTATTTCTCTTACCGGACGGACATCTTACTTCTCTGGCGGGCTACATGATGACTCCCTGTGTTTCTCCTACCCAGAGTCCTCCTGGACTCCTAGTCCCACCTATCTTGCTTCCCTATTGGCCAACAGTGCTTTATTGACATATACACAGGACTTCCCCATCAGTAAGGTCTAAACAGAATTCCCAAAGGAAGAACCTCAAATGGCTGAGAAACTTAAGTGTTCAACATCCTTAGCCATTAGGATTCAAAACAGAACTACTTTGAGATTTCTTCTTATAGCTGTCAGAATGCCTAAGATCAATAAAACAAGTGACAGTTCATGCTGGCAAGGATATGAAGCAAGGGGGAACACTCATCCATTGCTGGTGGGAGTGCAAACTTGTACAGTCACTATGGAAATCAGTGTGGCAGTTCCTCAGAAAAATGGGAATTGCTCTACCTCAAAGATTCAGCTATGCCATGTGTAGGGTTCTCTAGTAACAACATTTATAGAGTGAATACATTGTTAGAATGACTTACAGGCTGTGGTCCAGCTAATCCAACAATGTTTGCCTATGAATGAAATATACAAGAATCCAGTAGTTGTTCAGTCCAGGAGGCTGGATGTCTTACCTGTTTGTCACTATACACTTCCGATCCCAAAGAAGTGGGCTCTAGTGCCAGTGGACTTGCCATTGAAGGCAAGAACACAGGCAAAGAAAAACTTTCTTCTTCTATATCCTTCTATAGACTCTAGCTTGAATTCTAATTGGTCTTAATAATTAAAAAAACAAAGTCAGGTATAGGGGTTAATGCTGAGAGATCAGAAAAGGAGAGCAGCCAGCCATTAGTTCTTACCTCTAGTGAACCTTCAGACCAGAGGTGTGATCCTGTCCATACAAATCCTCCGACTAAATGCTCTACCCTGTCTCTAGGTATTTTCAGACTGAATGCAATGAGTTCCTGTCTCCTGCCTTATATTCCTCTCTCCACCCAGCCATATCACTCCAATCTCCACTTCCCTAGTGCTGGGATTAAAGGTGTGTGATCCCAGAATACTGGAATTAAAGGTGTGAGCCACCACCTCTGTTTTTCTTTTAGATTGGATTGATCTCGTGTAGCCCAGGGTGGTCTTGAACTCACAGACATCTTCCTGCCTCTGGCTCCCTAGTGCTAGGATTAAAGGTGTGTGCTACCACTGCCTGGCCTCTATGACTAACTAGTGGCTAGCTCCCCACTCTGATCTTCAGGTGAGCTTTATTTGTTAAAAATACAAACAAAGTATCACCACAATAGGCTGCCAGCAGAAGGTGTGGTCCTGACTAAAGGTGTATCTTCCCTCCTCAGGGTTAAAGGTTTACTTCCTAGTCTTAAAAGGTCCCAATTAGAAATGGGCCTTCCCTGCCTGGTGGTGGTGGCACAAGCCTTTAATCCCAGCACTCAGGAGGTAGAGGCAAGCAGCCTATAGAGTGAGTTCCAGGACAGCCAAGCCTATATAGAGAAACCCTGTCTTGAGAAGAAAAAAGAAAAAGAAAAGAAAGTGTGGTAATTTGCACAATGGATTATTACTCAGCAGTTAAAAAATATGAAATCATGAAATTTGCAGGTAAATGGTTCTATGATGGAGGAAGTCCTTCTATGTATATGTAAATAAAGCACTGTTGGCCAATAGGTGGGACTGGGAGTCAAAGAGGATTCTGGGAAATGTAGTCAAGGGTGAGTCGTCACCATGTGATCCCTGGAGGAAAGAATGCAAGTCTGGCACTCTTGGAAAGATAAGTCCTTATAAAAATATATATTAGTAATTATGGGTTAATATTTAAGTCAGAGCTAGTCAATAAAAAAATCAAGCAAATGGCCAACAGCTTCATAATTTATATAGTGTCCTGTGTGTTATTTGGGGGCTAAAGCGCCAGCGGGACCCAGGCAGGAATCCCGCAACAATTTTAGAGAAAAATCATTGTGAGTG